GTAAGTTCTTAGAAGTGGCCATATTTGCTTCAGGTTTTAACAATGGCAGACGCCGAAGCTGAACCCCAGCCTGAAGCCACGCCGCCGGCCGAAGGAGAACAGCCTGCAGAACCTGCCGCCGAGGAAGGTGGAGCGGAAAAACCCGCCGAGGAAAATGCGAACGAAGAAGCCGGAGGGGATAACGATGCTAAAGACGGCGGCCAAGCGGAAGAGAAAAAGGACGAGGAGAAACCGACTGAATCTACGGATGACAAGACTAGCGACGAAAAGAAAGACGAAGAGAAAAAAATCGAAGAAGAGGAGCAGGGCTGCTGTTGTGTATTAGTGTAACAACCCTTATGGGCCTCAATTTTAAACTTATTAGCTGACTTTCATCACCATCATCTTAGAAAAAAGGACTGAATAAACAACAGTGAAGAAACATTTGCTGAGCTTTGCTTCAATAAGAAGCCAACGGTAATGAACATTTTTATGGCTGTCGGTGCATAGTTAGAAGTTGAAAACACTGCAAACAGAAAGGAAAATTTCCCGTGAGAACTTCGTGGCAAACAAAGCATCTTCTTGGAGTTTGAAGACGATTGTGCCAGCTAGCAAAGGATACTTTCGGGAAATATTATAATCGTTTGCAGAAATGTTCAACTTTTGGGAGCAGAAATGACAAGATTCGTATTTTGCAGTTTTTGATGCRTCTAAATTTTCGAGCGACCACACCTTAGATAAATTGATGTAAATATGAACATGCGGGATKTTTTTTTTTCAAATTTATTTGCAAATTAAGATATAACGATAGTTTTGGAATTATTGTACAGTTGCTAATATCGTGTTGTAAACTACATCAGTGTAGAGATCTTCAGAATAGAAACAAGTCGAAATATTCCGTTTTGTATTACAGAGCAGACATATTGCTTTCCCAATTGTAACTTGTACCTGTTAATCCACAAATTTTTACATTTTGTTAATACATTTAGATATGACCGGTGTTTTTTGTCTTATTTTTTATGGTTTAATTGTAATTATTAGACCAAAGAATGGGAGGAAATTTAAAAACGGGAAGGCGTGTGTAATTTCTGGTCGCTTTCAGAGAAAATTGTCGTGTTTATCCTGGTTTTGCGGGTAGAAATAAAATTTTAATGACCAAACAGTCTTGATGTGTCTTTTTTTCGTCCAATTCCACTTCTCGGCTCTTGACATAAACAAATGACTGTTATCTAAAACCTTGATTGAAATTCTGCTTATATATAAGCGAGCCAGGATAACTGACTCTGTAGTTACAAACCTGCAAGTCACTTAAGCTCAATTAGCCGGTGTCACTTTCAGACTGGCCAACTTCAACAACCTGTTCGTTT